ATTTTTGGGTTATGTTTGTATTTTTGGGTTTGGAGTACAAATTGGTCCAGCTTCAAAAGTGGATTACAGATTTCCATTAATGTTTTATATGTCCATGAGATTGAGAGTTCTCTTTTATCAGAAGCTGAACGCAGAAATTAATTAGGTAAAAGTACAAGGGCTCTTATCATTCCCTCAGAACAAGAGCAGGGTACACACTTACAGCTTGTCATGAACTGTTAACAGCTCATGACATGTCTAAGCAGAGGAAGACTGCCAACAGGACAGATGTGAAGCTGAAGTTACGATCATGAAAATGACAGAGAGCTCGCAGTCACATCCACAGCTGCAAACATCAACCTTTTCCCCTTCAAACTGTCTGATGATTAAACAGTCCTCTCATCAAACAGCAGTTCTCAAGCTATGGGACAGAACAAAAAAATCTGGATGACATAATTACTCATTTAGAATCCTGATTTAGTTAGTCATGGTTAAAGGAGCACTGCGCAACTTTTCTGGTGGAGGGTCCGCTACCTGCTTGTCTCCACGGAGATGTTCTTGCTTTGCCTGGAATGTCCCATGGTTTCACATAAACATATTCATCTACCGCTTATTCATTACGGGCTGTAATAGCCTGGTGGCAACCTTAGCGGTTTTAGGAGGAACAGAGTCAAGTTGAGCCAGTTTACAGTGCAGATCCCAGTGCAGTTATTAAGACAAAACAAAAAACTATTTACAAAAATTCCAAAAAGGTTAAAAACAGACATAGCAGTTACCTGCGCTCACACAGCACCTCCTTCTGAACAAGGTGAGGCTGGCTTCTTTTAAAGGCCCTGTCCTAATTGGGTGAGCCCACTTTAACGATCAGGTAAGCACCAATAATTTGTACATTTAATATCTAAAAACAACTATCAAAACAGTGCCCAAACAACATCCAATTACATTAATTACAAAAATGTATATATCTTTATTTAAATTAGCAGTGTTCAATGCCCTAAAATACTAAATAGAACCAGTTAAAAAAAGTGCTCCCCTCCTCCAAACAACATGGTTGGCTGCCCCGGAACCTTCTTAAGGTGCTCTGGCTCCCCGGGGACTCTTTTGGCCAGAGCACCTGAGGCAAACCACAGCAGAGGGTAAGTACAATTACTTCAATTTAAATGCACTTTTACAGGTAACTTCAATCTGCACATACATTTTCAATAAACATTTCTTAAACTTTGTTTCAGTTCCTCATTTTACCTTTTAACTAGCCCTAGGCCCAAGTAATGGACTGGCTACATTACACGGGCATTTCTGTTGCTCAAAAACACATTCATTCCTTCTGTGAATATTGGCGACTCTCCACAGATCTGAATCATAACATAGCGTAGTGCTGTAACCTGCTTATCCCCACTATGATAGACCTTTCCATGGAGATCAGCAGGTGGCAGACCCTCATGGAAGACAATTTGTTTCATCAGATTTTGAATTTTAAATGCCATTTCTCACTTTGAATGTTTTAACTCTGAAAAAACATGTTTGAATTATTTTTATTCTTCTAAAAAATCACCTTAATATTCAGCACAAATGTTTTCAAGTGCTCAAATCCAACAGTCAAAATTCAGAGCGTAAAATTTGCAGTGGAAAAAATTCGCAGGAAAGATCCAAGATGCCAAGACAGAAGCAATCGAGCCAAAGTGATCCGATCTACTTAGTAACTTAGTAACAGTGCAGTGAAGCGATCTGATTGGTCAGAATTATCCTCATCAAAACCTCAACTCTTTTATTTCTTAAGTGTAAATCCCGCCCACAAATGAGAACAGCCAATAGGAAACAGCCTCCGTCCTCCTCACTCACACAGGATCGATTGCGTTTGCCTTGGCATCTTGGTAGCCTGATTCATCAGCCGGTTTCACTTTGTGGAAACCGTCTGACCTCGCAGCATTAGGATTTGTTCGTTCGACAATAAGCGGGTACTTTTTTTTATTTAACCAATCGCTGCTATTTGATCGTGACTTATGTAATGCGCTAACTGGTATATTACACTTTTCCCAAATCCCGAAGGAAGTAGGACAATAACGTCTTTCCTCTTGATAAAATTCACCAAACATTTTCTTTGTTCTGGCTTTAAATCCTCGATCTCGGGAATCATTGCCAACACAGAATATATGGATCTTCGCTGATTGGCTGGTGCCCGAACTTGCACTTCCAGGGTTTTTACGAACCATCTAGTGTAATTTGATTCCTGACCTAGTCGCTAGAGAGAAATGAAATTGAGCGGAAGCACTAGGTGGTGCCAGCCTGACTAGCATCTTGGGTCTTTGTTGTGAAATGTTTTACTGCCAATTTTACACTCTGAACTTTAACTTTTGAATTTGAGCGCTTGAAAATATTTGTGTTGATTATTTAAAAGGTGAAATTTTTATTTTGAATTTGAAATATATTGAAAAAGTACACTTAAAATTTCAGCAACTAAAAATTCTACATACAAATAATTCAATCCTAATTTCAGAGTAAAGAGAAATTCAACAATATTTAAAATTCAAAATCTGATGGAACAAATGATCTGCCATAGACCCTCCACTACAAATGTTACGCAGTGCACCTTTAAATCTGGTCTAGTTTAGTCTTCTGGTTTGATCATGCTTATTCATTGGTACTTTGAAAGCCAATTAACGTCCACGGCGACGCTTAATAATTCAATGCTTAAACAGTGCACCTTGAGTGAACGGACCAATCGGCTGCCCCGGTCACCCCCCCACCCTCCCTCCTCCCCGCTATGGTAACTGGATTAACGAGCGCGCCGCAGTTACTATGGGATGTCGGGATGATGAATGATGTGTGTCTGGCTCCAAATCTGCCTCCTAATCTCAGCAGGAAAACAGAGGAGCAGACATCAGGCGGAAAGACAAATGGAGGAGGGAAAGAGAGGGGAGGGGGGGGTGTAATAATCATTTAAATATAATATGATGTAGTCGGTTAAACCCTGAAATGGTTTATTCTGTGTTTATATGTGTTTTATGTTCCCTAATAGTTACTGACTGGTGCGGAGTGCAGTGGACGAGCGGAGTTGTGTTTGATCATAATAATTATAGTATTGAAAACAATGCCGGGCTGTTGGACTGTTGTTGTATTGATGCTTGAGGCTTTGTAGTGCGGACGTGACTTGACCGATGAATTAAAAAGAAAATACCAGCCCGCTATCGGTCATCTATACTTATACGATTTCATTTCGACAAACTACAAACTCTTGTGTCTACTCCTTATGATGCAAGCGATGTACAACGACCAGAACTGAAGATTTTTGAGTGCTCAACGTGAAAAATGAAGCAACACTATGTATGTATGTAACAATAATCGAAATATCGTGATATCGTATCGTCAAAAGTCTCACAAAGTGTCTCTGCTTAAATTCATTGTTTTGGTGCAGCAACAGCTAAAAAACAGTAAGAACTACATAGACCATGATCCTTTGCTGTGTTTCAGTCCAATCTGCATGCTGAAATAACTGTTATATGCACTTTTAAATCTTAGTTATTTGGATTATGATGAGAAAAAGTAGCACACTCACAATTTTGTATACATATTTTTTACCTCCATGAAATATCACAATAAATATCGTACTGTGAGAAGCATATCGTACTGAGTGATTTGGATGTCGTTACATCCCTAAACAACACATTTTAACAATTCAAACGTTTGAAGAAGGGCAACTTCAGAATGTATTAGTTGCTACATGTTAACAACAAGCGTTTTTTTGTTTTTTTTTTGCACTAGATTTGCAGATACAATATAATAGGCTGACATTTTTATAAATTAGTAGAGTTGCTTTGGACAATATAGATACTAAGGTACAAGCAGTGTTGGGGAGTAACAGATTACATGTACCGGTGTTACATAATCAGAGTACAAATTATGAGTAACTGTATTCAGTTACAGTTACTGTTTCAATGAGTGGTAATTAGATTACAGTTACTTTGTTGAAATAAATGGATTACACAGTGGTATTTTTCCTGTTTTCACATTTTGGGCTGTATCCCATTTTTACTTTTTTTTTATTTCAGTAATTCCATTCATTGCTAGAAACTACACCAGGACTAAAACAGGTCTAAAACCAGGACTAAAACAGAGTTTAACAGGACTAAACCATAATAACTTGATTCCACATCATTTTGAGTAAAAAACATTAAATATTACTGATTTTTACTGGGCTGGCACCTTTATGTTTCTACTGAAATTGAGGTGTTTTTTAAATAAACAATATGACAGCTAACAGTAGGGTGAACATACTTTAAGGCAGCAGTGATCTCATATAGAAAGCATTTCTCTATCAATATGTTTATGTTAAGATATCCTAGTCTTAGCTACTCTACAGCAAATCAAGTAATCCAAAGTATTCAGATTACGTGACTCACTTTAAGTAATTTCATGGATTACGTTACAAACTACATTTTGGGGTATGTAATCTGTCATCTGTATGGGAATTCATTTTAAAAGTAACCTTCCCAACACTGGGTACAAGTACTACCAGAGGAATAGCCACAAACGAACAGCAACCATCGATTTTTTTCTGGTAGCACTGTGAAAATGGCCCAACCAGGTGCCCTTACTTTGCCCGGTAACTGGACTCCACACTCCTCACACCATCACAAGAATCATGTGAGTAATTTCAGCTCTAGAATTGCCAATCACTACTGAACTAAAGATAAATGGTGGAGCTGTTCACCTGAAATCTTCAACTTCATGACATCACAACTTGGAACAGAGCATTTTGAGCTTTGGAGATGACAGACTAACAACGTGAATAAAACTAAACACAACTCCAGGTCTGTTTTCGATGAGGTAACAACATTCTAACATGCCCCCAAGGCTCACTAGAGTCAGTTTTGTGTAGTATATTTTGTGTATATAACCATCAAGCCACCATTTCCAAACTTGAAAATTGAAAACTAACTCTTCTCTCAGAATTCTAACCATAAATAAACCAGTCTGAGTTTGATCTCCTGGCTGTAGACACCGTCCAGCCCCGGGGCTCTTACCTTGTCCGGAGCTTGGCCCTGCAGGCTCCCCACGTCCAGCGGAGTGATGAGGGGCACGTTTTGGAAACCGTCCTCCACGCTCACCGCTTTGGCAGTGCCTTTGTCCTGAAGATTACTCCCCAACTTCACCATTTTCACGTCAGGTTACCAAAAGACTGCACCTGCGTGTGGGAATAAGATCGTATTATAATAAAAAACTGATTTGAAGTTCAATATTGGTGTGAAAAGAAACATTCAGCCTTTTGCTAACGTGCACCAATGTTGACAGGTTTAATGCTAAGGAGAAATTCAGTTGTTAAAAAAAAAAAATCTAATTCATTTTTACTACGTGGTCGATTTAAACATTCCCAAAACAATCACGTCTCGTTTTCAAAAAAGCAAGTTTCGATTTTAGCATGCGCTTTTCTAACACGTGACCGCCATAAAAACACACCAACATTTTTCGTGAATGTTTTCAAAGAAGTCTGGTTTATTACTCACGGTATTTATGAAGCTTTGATGCGGACAAAGGTTGCACAGAGGGCGGACAGAAGAGGAGCAGCTGACCGGAGGCTGGAGGAGGAGGAGGAGGTGTGGATGATGCTGCGGGGAAAACAACGCTTCTCCGCCGTGGACCGAGCGCTGTCTGTCGGCAGGTCTGCGGTGTGAACCAGCAGCAGCAGCAGCAGCAGCAGGAGCAGCGGCAGCCCAACCCCCAAAGCCTCAGACCAGCCCGCTCCCTCCGCGCTCCGCTCCGGCACAGGCGCACACCGGCGCAGACGCACCGCGGGCGCAGCGCAGCGGCCGCTAGGGGCACGGAGCACACGGAAGGTTTAGTCAATTATGGAAAGTAAATGCGCGAAGTGTAATAATAAACAGAGAAAAAATTAATAAAAACAAAAATACTGCGAGGAGAGCTTCTAGTGATGAAAAAGCATTGGGTTTCATTACAGTTTCGCAATAAAGAAAACGTTTGGATGAGATCATTTGTAAACTAATCTGACTATATTGTATAAAATTATATTTTTAAAAAAATTAAAAATCTGAATAGTAGTGTATGATAAAATACCACGACTTACAATTTGTCTTAAAACAAGCAGTAGCTCTAATTGTCTAGCTCTATTAAAATTAAAACCAGATTGTAGTGCAACAGCGCCATATGGTGGACAAATGAGCAATCTACAACTCTATGACAAACAGCAGACATGTCAAACTCAGGCCCGGGGACCAAATTTGGCCCGCGATATAATTATATTTAGCCCACAAGATCATATCAAATATGTATTAGAGCTGGCCCGTCGGCTACAGATAGACTGAGACAATATTTATTTAAACTTTAGTTATTCTATTCTATTTTGTTTTTATTTTACATTATACTTGTTCTGGATTCAATGTTTAAGCAAAGCTATTATTAAACATTTACTTTAAGAAAAGGTTTAACATTACATATCTTCAAAGAAGAGAAAACATGCAGATGTTGTTTAAATTTTTCAATAAATATTTAGTTTGGCCCATGACTTAGTCTCAGTTTTTAATTTTAGCCCTCTGTAAATTTAAGTTTGACAACCCTGACTTACAGTGTGATGATTGTACTAGTCATTTGTATGCGCTGTTTCATAAAATGTATATTTATATTTCCAACAATAAGATTAGCCTTTACATAATTCTAAGAGATTACTATAAAGAAATGCACTTATTAAAAAATGTGCATTTGTATGTGAATTTGCATTTGAATGTGCATTCATCCAGAGGTAATAAGCTTCAAGGGCAATTATTTTGCTTTTTTCTGATCTTTTTTTCTGATTTCTATGTTATTTCCTCATCAAAAATATACCTGGAATTGTCTTTTGTTTCATTCAAACATTTTAACACATAAATCTGTATATGCTGAGTTCTTCTATCAAGCTGAAAACTCTGTTCCACTTTGTGATGTCATGTGGGACTAAAAGAAGTGCCCCACTGTGTTTTTAAACTACATTCACCTTTACTAGAATCACTTGGCTAATTTCAGTCCTGGAATTGCCAATCTGTTCTGAACAAAAGGTAAAAAGGAGCTGTTAACTGAAAACTTACAGCTTCATGACATCACAAGTTGGAACAGAGCATTTTGAGCTTTGGAGATGTAGACAGATCAATAATAAGGGATTACTCAAACATGTGTGAATAAAACAAAACACAACTCCTGGTCTGTTTTTGAGGAGGTCACAAATTCTAGCATGGCTTAATGTCAACTGAGTTAATTTTGTGTAATATAGAACCTTTAATGATTCTTACACTGTAGGCTACGTCTAATATTAAACTTTTATCAAAATATTTCACAAATGTTTGGAAATTAGTTGTGCTATTTTAAAGCACAAACAATGCAGACCTTTTACCCCATTCATGACTAGCCACCATTGTCACGTGAATTCACATAGTAACAGTTCCTCGTTTGACCAGGTGGTGGCGCATGTGAGCTACATTATCGGTCCATATTTCATCCTTTGGACTCGAGAAACGGCACATGACCCGATGAGGCGTGTGGTGAGCTGGGCGTGCGTCAGGCCGTGCGTGCGTGCGTCTGCTGCGGCCGATAACACGTCCAGTATTTATGGGTCGGTCCGGGAGGTGTGGCCCGGAGACAGATTTAGGAGCCGGACCTTGGACTGCGGTTTCATTAAAAGTGTGTCAGCTGCCAGTGAAATGTTTTATAGCAAAATAATGGCACTTGGAGAATAAAATGTGATCATCGCCAACTAAACCGTAATATGCCTAAATATGTTGGAGTAGCGTAACCTGCAGCTGGTGGTTCCTGGAAGTATTGACCCGGGCTTACTTATTTGTTCATTTTTAGTAGTATGGTAGCAGTGCTTTTCCGGTTCTTTTTCCCATGAGGATTTTATTGATTTGAAATTACCTTAGATTTGACCCTTGACCTAGAAAATGCGGAGCCATCAGTTTTGTTGTGTACATTGAGTGATGCTTAGCCTGAGCCGCAGAGGGATTAGAACTACTGCACTGTACACAATATTGTAGGGTAGGGAACAGATTGGCCTGGTACTTTAAAGTAAACAAATACGTTTTCAAATATACACATAGGATAAAATGTTACATGCCTCATCTACAATTGACAAATCCTTTAAGGTTCAACTCAAGACATTCAGATTACTATACTTCTTGCTTGTGCACATGCCCAAAGAAGATAGTTAATCCACTTGTCTTATTTTCTTTACACATTAGACGGGAAACTGCAATCGACAGTGTTACCACCAGGTGTCGCCAAAAGCCACGTGAGTAAACCCAGTGACGAGTGTTTGCAAAAAGTTCCTGGCTGAAGCTCTGGTCTGCACTTCCTGATAGGAGGTCATTGGGCTTGTTTATTGGTTAGTGTTGGCAGATAAATAGGAAATGGGGGCAGGAGTGATGAGAGCAGAAGAATAAGGCCAAAGTCAACTTCTATGTTAAGAAATAGTTAGATTTACTGAAAACATCAGGCTAGAACAGGGATGCCGGGCAGAATGACTAACTGTGACTATAAAAAGAGGAGGGAAATGTAAATATTCAAATTCAGTCGTACTACTTTAAACGAGGCTTTCCCCATTTTAGCATGTACCTATTTAGCCAAAGAAAATGCGTTGTAACAATAACCAGAGCAGTGTCATATTTTCATCACAGTTAAGATTTATTTCATTCAACATTTCACATTACAAATATTTAAAAATTATGCATACTGTTATAAATAGTTGGCTGCAAACAATTAAATAACATTAGATTTTTCTTTTTCGTTTTTCACTAGCACTTCTACAGACCAACTCCTAGAAATATGAACATATCCGTAGTACATAACTTAATTAGAAAGGAAAATACAAAAATAGGAACTTATAAAGTGAAATGACAATAAAAATTAAGGTGATATCTTAAGTAAAAAATGCTATTAATAAATACAACAACCTTCCCATACACAGTTAAAAACTATTGAAATCTTGCCATTAAGTAACATTAACAGACAAATATTTAATATTTATTTTCCTTCAGAAAATGTGAACCATATATTGTGGAGCACAATATAGCAATTAGTAAAAACTAGACACTTTAACATATTAAAAGCTTCACCTCAAAAATATAACAAAAATCTGATCAAAATTATAAAAATCAATTATACATTCCAATTAAAAATATACCAATAAACAGCTAAATACATTGTTGACCTAATAATTACAAAGCAATCAATCACAGTAGCTTGAAATAAAATAGGCAAATAAGCACAAAACCTTTTAATGTTTTAAAAATAACTTCAATTATTTATATTAGTACAAATAGTTTGATTTCTTTTCTTTTTTACAAACACCAGCATGAAAAGGATTACAATAACAGTAGAAAATGACTGTGAAAAACATATTAACATCTTTTTTAATTAAATGTCTGCAATTAAAAATGGCATTAAAGAATTACATTGCAAAGAGTCTTTATCTGGAAAAAGGTTCAAAAGAAGTATTGCACATAACAACTTGAAGTTAACTTGCAACATTTACCACATTCAAGTCTTTAAGCTCCCCTTCCTCCAGATAGGTCTATTATAGAAAGATCAAGACAGCTCAAGTCTAAGGTTAGAGTAAAAAACAGTGTTCGATACGGATGCGCTGCCCACTTGTCAATATAGAAAGTTTGTGTCATTTCTCGTCTTTAGAGGTCTGCGAATGGGGAAGCGAGGGGTTCTCAACACGTGGGGCGGGGTCATCGGGGTCTGGGGGAGGGGACATCGTGTGGGACTATAGGGTGTCCTTAACAACGCAATATTTGAGAAACATTTGGTGCACACCACAACAATTAATTTTTATAGCTAATTCATGTACTTGTCATTTTCTCTTTTTTTGTCATGCATGCTAAGGATTACGATAGGTGCTAGTTGGCAAGTTCAAGAATATATATATAGATATAGATATTTATACTTTTTTTAAATATTAAAATATCTAAACACCAAACATCCATTCGTGTGATACGAGATTCAGCGTTAAGCGTGAACCAAATTTTGCATTCTCCTTATAATAAGTTAATGACTCCATCTACGGAGAGGAAACCAAGACAGAAGTTACCATTTTCCAACTAGTAGAGCCGTGTTACAAGGCATGAACATCCATTTAATCACAACAACATGTTTTTTGTCTTTTTGTCGCCATGCTGTTACGGACACATCTAAAAGCTAAGACCAACTGAATGTTCACTTTGGTCTGTCCTCTGCAGATCTGAAGTCGCCTCAACACAAGTGCGCACTTATAGTTGTAAAGATTCCTCAGCACTGAAATGTATAAAAAGCATAATTGAAAATAATATATATTGAAATCACTCAACAGCTCCATATATGCAGATCTCTCAGTAACAAAAGTACAAAAGCTACCTTTCACAATGTGAAAAATTGAGGTATTGCAAAAAGGAGTTTCCCCATTCGTGAAAAATGTGCCTAAAATGACTGTTGGAAAAAGAAAAACTATTTAGAAAAGTAGTGCATAATAAATGTTTATATGTGCATGACAAAATAATTTAGCTAGAAAACACACTGTACCAAAAATCAGCAGGCCATGTATAAAATAATCTTTTTTTCTTCTCATTTTAAACAGCAAATTCTTCACAAAGTGTTTTAACTTCTAAAATGCTCCCCCACCACACCCACAAAACTCATGTCCGGGTGCAAACTGGTGCGAAGTGGACACCGCGTCACAAATGAGGGTAGGTAACTCACTAGTGTAGACTCAAGTTTCTGTAGACTGCTCCCTGACGTGGTTCAAACCGAGTCACTCAAAACGAAGACCATTTTGACGACCGCGCCTGTCCGTGTGCACTTTGTGTTGTAACGCAAATAAGTCGCCTCCATTTTGAGCTACGGAGAAGTACGGGGTCTGACTGCACTTAAAATGTAGAAATATAATAATAAATTCACAAGGCCAATCTTTGGTTTTACCAGAGTCCAACAGGTGCGTGACAGTTACTGGGTAGATAGTGATAAAAAAATATATGAGAGTAATATAATCAATAAAAAACAGAACGTAAGCTACAGCGTGACCCACTACTGCACCGCCATCTTTGGTTCCCTAAGGCGGGTAAAACCTTTTCGTATGGGCAGCCCGGTTGACACGAAGTTGTAGTAGTAGTAGTAGTAGTAGTAGTAGAGCGCACTGCATGGACTATCTTCATTTATGCTTCAAAAACACTGTTGCTGAGTTGGTTTAACTTGGCAGGAGGAAGGAGGGAGGGGGGTCTCCGAAATCGCGTACCCCCCCAACGACTCAAATGTGTGCAGATGAAGTCAGATCATCTTTCATTGCTTTTGTGGGTTAATAAAAGAAAGTAGCTGACTCCAGGATGCAAAGGTTTTTTTTTTTTCCGTAAAGACTTGGGAGAATTGCACAAATGTATTTAAAAAACTAACTAACAGACAGGCATTTTTTTTTACCATTCGAAACTGCAAAAAAAGCGGAGGCCACTAGCTTTCTCTGGCTCCCCCCGTGTTCGCATTCAGCTGAGGATAGTTAGTCTCCTCCTATACATTCCCCTAAAGATACTGTAGATGCTCTGTCCGTCTCTAGCACAACCCTGCGATTGATACAAAAATAAGGTGATGAAGCAAAGTGAGTACAAAACTGTGCCGTTCCCATCACACGCAGCCGCCGGACGCCCAACTTCCCGTGTCGTATCGGCGGGAAGGACGGCCCCGGCAGCACGGATAGCGAGTTATCTTCTGGTTAGTCTCCTCTGGAATCGGCACATTAGCAGCTGAGTTTGAGGTATTAGTTTTTGCATGTGTCAAAATGGAGATCCGAACCCAAATATAGTTATGTTGCTTAGAGATTTTCTTGCGTGAAATTTCAAGTAAAAATATTTGCGGTAGAGATTTATTTTTTTTGATCGAGGAGGGTGAATATTCGTCGCAGTGGGCCCTCTCTTGTGTTTGTCAGTGATGAGAAATTCAGCTTTGGTAAACTACAAGGGTCTCCTATACTGAAACTGCACTCTCTCTAATGGAAATAAGTGCACTCTTCTTTAGCAACACCCTTTTCAAGTGAAGTTTGCTCTAGAGCCCCGACCCTTTCCACAATAAACAGCCAATAATGCACTGTTCCCATTGCATTTGCCTCCAGACGTAATACAAACTAAAGAGGAACAGCTCTGCTACACAAAATAAAAATTTTAAAGTCACATTTCTTTAGATTTTTGATAAAAATGTTTAAAAAAAAGTTCAGGCCAATTCAAAGCAGAGTACCATCACACACTTCAAACGGTCCTATATATCCATTTGTATGAACTCATAAAAATATTTTAAAAATCAAATTTATAAATTAAATTACATTACACTTCTTTTTTTCTTTTCTGGACATTTTTTCTTTTCTTTTTTTTCAAAATATAGATATACTATATATTAACTTAAAAAACGAGAAACTTTTGGGTGAACTTAGAGCAAAAAGGAACCAGCAACAGAAAAGTGCATTTATTTGTACAATGATTGGCGACTGGTGCACTACCTGCCCTGCCTGTTGCCTGTTGCCTGTTGCCTGTGGTTCAGTTCCAGCGGAAGGAGATGTGGCGGGGGCGGTCTCCTCCCTCCTTCACCAGGGGCTTGTGGAACTCTCGTCCGGCCCGTGAGTGGATGGCGGCCCAGCAGTACTCGCAGTAGTACTGGAGGCAGGTCACGTTGGCGCAGAAGAAGGGCGCGAACTTGCCCCCACAGCGGGTCCCCTGGCACTCGTCGCACAGCTGGTCGTCCAGCACGTATGGCTTCACTTCCACCTGCGGGCACGGGACACGAGTTTAGCATTGGTCTGCATGGGCACAATAACAGCTGCTGAGTGTACTCAAATATTCTACAAACTAACATGACTGCTCACGACTGAATAAAAACAGCACCTTCTCAACCCTAATTTTAAGCATGATAATTTTTTGTGATCTATTTAAAAAAGCAATCAATATATTTAGATGTTTCTTCACATTCAGATTGCTGCATGGTTATTGTATCAATAGAGTGTATGAAAATATGTTTGATGAACTTGATTCTATTATTAGGTGATCCATGTTATGACCACAGCAGGGAACTTACATACATGTTATTCATATTTGCTCTTATCAAGCGAAACTGCAGTTTGACAAATGAGACCTAAGAGAAATGATGTATTCTTTGAATTTCAAACTGTATTTGCACTCAGCTTCAGTCACGCTTCAGTGTCCTCATACATTTAAGGACAATATTATTTATCAACCACATACAGCTAGGGAAATTATATCTGTTATATCAGAGTTATTTTTGGATGTTCTTCTTGGCAGACTTTTCAATTTTCTTGCTATATTCTAATTCTCTGCTAGATTTATTTGCGTTTGAGATTTGCACACATCCTTTATCAGTGTTCCCTCCCTGAAGCAGATTGTGCTTTAAGATGCTTTCAAATCTCCAGAAACTATTACATTTTCTCGTTTGCTCAAATGACTTGAGCAGCTTGAACATCAGTCTGCGTGCCGGCTGCTCTGGCGACAGAAGGTGAGGCTGCATTTGACCCGACTGGACCTTGAGCTATGGCTGAGAGCTTTGCATACCATGATGCAAAGTATAATACAAAACTCCACTGCAGGGCCTTTAGAATAGAAGAACTAGAGCTGGGATGGTGTGAGAGAGTTTTATACCAGAGCACAGACACAAATACTGCTCCAGCTTTTCACAAACAAACTGGGTCACATCAGATTTGCTTTTTAGCTCAGGAATAATCGCTCTGTACAATTATAGAAAGGGGGAGCTGGCACATTATATTGTCGAAGTGGATTTCATCTCTTAAACAACACTGTAAACTCTGATATACTTTTCAGTCTCGAAGTGCAACAGAAAGTGATACAGCCTTGAACATTTCTATGAAATAGATAAAACAGATAGAACTTTGTGCAAATTGGGGGTTGTAAATATACACAGTGAAAAAGCAAAACCTTTACTTCAATAAACACTTGAGCACTCAGTAACCACAGGTTACTGAAGGTTGCGTTTTAGTCTTCAAATAATATTTTATGTTTACGCAGATGCATTCAACAACATGTACTGTGCTTCTTTTTTAAATAATGTGAGGTTTAATTTTGAATTTAGCACCATAAAGATGATAAGCCAAGTAAGTACAAGTCCTACAACTAATTCTGGGGGTTGACCAGATACAACTGGTTTGTAACAATTACAACTAAGCACTGAATTAGCTAATTATTATATTAAAAAAGAATCAAATTCTTAATGCAGATTTTGTTAACACATCCTCCTCTATTGCCCAAACCAACTTTTGATATTTCATTTTCTTATATTTGGTTTCTAATTCCTTTATTAATGAGTTTGACAATTGAAATACTATTTCCAGCTAAAAGTGCACTGGGTTTATTATTATTCTTTGTAAGTCAAGGTTCCCTTCCCCGTCACCCCACATCTGCATGAGATAAGGCCTATACTAAGGTGTGGCTCTTCACAGAAATGGGCCAAACGGAGAGGCAGTTTGAGGTGTCCCGTTAGTGTGTGCTCACCCGTTTATCGATCTCTCCATGCTGCAGTTGCACAAAGCGAGCACTGATAGCAGCTATGTAGCTCTGCTGATTAGAGAAGGCCACCCGCCCTGCTCCTTTGGGGTACTTCAGCTCCGGGTCTGTGTCAATGCCAGCGTAGCACACCCCTCCATAGAGCCGGTCCATGATCATCGCCAGCTCCACTGTAGAGAGAGAGGGAGGAGGTTCGAGAGAGAAAGGGGGAGACAGAGAGTAAAAAAGAGACAGACAATCATATGAATTAAATATATTATATAAAGCAACAAATGTCTGATGTGAAGTACAAACAGTGTAACAAACAGTGCAGTGTAGTCAAACAGATAGAAGCTAACACACACCAAGTCTACAGAGCGGCTCCATGAGGCCTCTGATGCAGTGCTGCTGAGCTCAGGGCTTTGCCTTACCAAACAAATGGATCACACTTGAGTTTGATGAGGGAACATAAGGACAGAGTCTAAAGTAATACAGCATCACTACTTTTAATAGCTTTCTGTTTAAGGGTGACATGTTGAGGACTTTCGACCACAACTAACATAATATTTTGTTTTTAATTGTTAATTGATATAGCAACAGTGTTAACTTTTATCTTTACCCTGAAACCCATGGATAAGTATGCCAAATTACAGAAAAAATACCAAAAACTCAAAAGCTCTCAGTCTTTTATAACTCTATAGATTTATTCCAGTAGTTGATCTTGTCAACTTGTTGCATGATTGTCTGTGATTGACAGCTAGTGGCTTGAGACAAACAGGGCATAAAAGGATGGTGTAAACATTTATAACATTTATATGTTTAACCATTTTATATGTTATATATTTAAAGATTTAAGATTGCTAATTTAATATGGAAGACTGAATCTGATGTACCATAAAGTGTAAAAGTGGGTCATGATAAAATAAGTTTAGTATTATGTAGTAAAATCAGGCAGGAGAAGTGCCTGCACCATACTATGGTGTAATAGTGTCATATTTGGACTGTGGGCTCAAAGAACCTTCTGCAACTAAAAGAAAAACCTCAAAGACAATTGCCCACCACGAGGAAAATACTAATCAGAGCTGTAAGAATCAAACTGAAGTGAAAACTCTCCACAGCGCGCCTGAGAGCACTTCCTGATAACACCAATCGAGAGAGAGAGACGCAGTCTTTCATCTCCGTCTGCAGCTCATCCAATGTTTATTAAGAACAAAGCCGTTTGGAGCTCACCATCTCAGCCTGGGTGCATTTGGGATTGATATTAGCTACATCATTCATCAGAAACAAAACTTAAATAATAACTACAACTTTGAAAAGTCTTTTGAAAGGTTTACTATCTGGAAACTGGAAAACAGCAGATGCATTTATATCACACTTTTACATGGTATATCTAACACAATGTAAAAGTCAAATAAATGTAATCACAATAAAGGCTCTTAACAACCTGAGAAAAGCTCAATGGTGGTAGAGGAGTACCTGCACGGAGTGGACGGGGCACTCCTCCCACGAAGATGGTTTTCCTTGGGTCCAAAGGCTGAGAGCCGTCCATCACAAAGTCACTGTCATTCAGGTTCCAGGGTCGAATTTGGACCTACAGCACAAAAATACAGTTTTTATGTAGCACTTGGTGGTTATGGGGAGAGCTCTCTGTCAGGGGGCTCCGTTATCTGTGGTCAATATATAACTATATGGAATTTCTTGTACAATAGACTGCCTGCCTCGACTAACAAATGAACAAGTTAGTCTGGATTCAATATTTGTTTTGTGTTGATATTTTCTGAGAAGTAAAGATACTTTTGGTGTTCTTTATTCTCAAATATCTTGCTTAGGAAACACTTATTTTAATGGGGAGGGAATCATTTTGGGCTGCTGCTGAACTGTATGATGTATGGTCTGTGCCAGTCTCAGTGTTATGCGACTGATTCCTGGAGAGGACAATTTGCTGTATGTCTCTCTCCAATCTTCACCCTTTTTCACACCCAGAACCCATACTGTCCAGTCCAATAAACACATGTGCCCCATAAAAATGTAAAAAACAACCAAACCCAGAATGCTAAGCTGGCACTTACCGGCTTGTCTTTGATGGTGGGGCTGGACACGCACAGGTACAGTTTTCCGTCTTCTTCGATGCAGGCGTCTATCAGAGCCTGAACAGAGCTCTCGTCCTGGAACAGCAGGAAGGCGTACCCTACACACACAGCACAGACTCAGAACACACTATTGACAGGCAACACGCTCCAAGGTGCTCCTCCGATTATACGCTAACTCTGTCAGCCTTCGACATACTGAGCTCACAGCGGGGGACTTACAAACACAGAAACAGACAAAACCTCTAGTCAAATGTTTGTGCTTGTTGTCGAAACGTTTTAGAAGTGAAGTTGGGGTATGTCTTATGCACGCATCTTTAAAAGGTTCACTGTGTAACTTTTCTGATGGAGGGTCTGCTTCCTGTTTTCAGATGTTTTTGCTTTAACTGAAATGTTCTACAGTATGGCATAGTTTCAAACCTCTAGCTATAGAAACAAGACTAGAGACTGACAAGTTTAATGATATACTGTGAAGCATTCCATGCAAAACAATAACATAGCTGACCTTTCCACCAAAAATGTTCCATAGTGCATCTTTAAATGGCTTTAGATCGATACTGAAGCAATAGTGGGATCTCTGTCTTTCAGTCATTGTAACAAAGAAGCTTTACAGGCAACTGCATCTAGATAGTTAAGTGTGAATCTATTTGTCCACCCGCTTAACTTCCATCTCAAATCTACAGGGACAAGAGTAACTCTTTGTAGAAAAACAGAATGGCTGGCCAGATGTTCAGTTAGCTTTTGTATTTTGTCCTGTGTAAAATGGTAATTCAGCAGCACCAAAGTGAACCTGTACCTTTGGGAGGGAAATAGGATTTACTCTCCGCTTTGTGAGGCCAGTCCACAAACAGGTGACCGAAGCGGCGGAAACTGGCTGTGATCTCATCTGAAAAGAACCAGATGCACATGACATTTACTTAAGCCTGCATCGGTCAAAAAGAGCATTTCCTGTTTACATTTGGTCTCTGCTTTGACTCAGTTGGTCTATAAAAATCCTGTATGCACCTTCATCTATATCAGGAGGCAGTCCACCCACAAACACTTTGCGAGAGTAGCGTTCCACTCGCTCTCCGTTCTGATGTGGGAAGCAGTGAGGAGATCCCAGACCGGCCAAGCCCTCTCCACGCTCATCATCAGGAAAACCATCCTCCATTGGGAAGAGAGAGGAATGGCCTATAAGACAAGAAGAAAAAGGCAGAGTTCAGAGAGAGGTTTATCTCGTGGGTAAAGGGTTAAAATGAGGTCAGTGGGACATGGTGGAGCGGTAATGGCAAATGTACAGTGGCAATTATACCAGTGCCTTGAGTCATCTACCTGATGGGAGGAAGTGAACCCAATCCTCTGTAGAAAACTGCCTTTCAGCATATTTTAATGACTTTGCTTTTAACCAATACTTAAGAGTATTGATGCAAATAAGCAAAGGCCCTTTGATATACAAAGCAGACTTGAAGTTACAGTATAAATCGATCCATATATATTCTGCTTCAAATGCATAACATGTATGTTGACATCCTAACTATTGTTAGCCTGCAAGTGCAACCATAATTTCCTAGGGTTTTCAGTACAGAAGCATCTGATGCTTTGCATGAAATGAAATTTGAATTACATTTTTTAATTACAGTTCAGATGCTTATCCTGACACAACTCCCTTCGATGTAACTGGTTTGGCTTGGAGCCATAGTGGCAAAAAAAACACATAATGGCTTATTACAGGTGTAACTCTCCCATTTAAAAAAGTGAACCCATCTTGTATAGAAAAGATAGAAGATAACACACTGTATTGATTAAAAATACAAAGGACAACAGCGTCTCTGAAAACACAGAAGAAACATGACAGAAGCATGCAATTACAAAGACAGGAATGTATCAATGAGTGGGCGTACATAAAAAAGTAAGAGTGCACTGGTCCTGTCAGTACTGTGGATGTGGCGAGCCAATCAGAGGCCAGTGTTGCGTGTAGCGGAGGTTAAACCCTCTCTGCCCTGTCCCTGCATCCATACAACCTGCTCTGAGCTGCTTTATACAGATTTATGGGAGAGTTTAGCCTGGGCTTACACTGAGCGCTCCAGGCCATGTGCCGCTAACACAGAGTGTCTATGCCTCATTATGGAGCAGCCACTGGGGTTAGCATCTCCTAATGTGTGGCTCTGAAACGTGTGTGAAAAACAGGCGTATACACTGAGGGTGAGCGATGACAAGTTTTAACAAGGCCCGACAGTCATGCAGACAGCGTGTCACTTCACATAACAGACAAGAAGCAAACGTATTGTATACAAGCACAGAGATCAAAGAAACCAGCAAAACGGGGAAATTATAAGAAAAAATGGCTTCATGTCACAAATCGAATCAAACTGAAAATTTAGACAACAAGAAATGCAACATATTTTACCTCGTCTCCTGCTATAATTCCTGGCTGCATGTGAAATAAGGAGAAATTTTAAAACGAACATTAACACTGTGCACAGTGTCTTTGGGCCAATAGTCAACTATGGAAAACACACTCAGGGTGTATTCAGTCAAACTTTATTACACCGTAGTGTGTCCTCAGGTAAAAGCAACCTATTGGTAAGACAAATTATTGGTAATGTTACCAAAAGTGTTACCAAAAATATGAACTCTACTATTCTTTAAGAAAGCTTTCATGAAGAGTTTTGTTGAATCAAGGTCATGCTCTGCAGCTGCGGCAATGAAAAAAAAGGAAAAAAATTGAATAACCTGTAGAAAAGCTCATTCTGAGCCAAACTCCAAGGACAAAAATAGAGCTTGTAGGAATTTAATCACAAAACTATCAGAAAAATTAGTAAACAAATTAAATTTCTGCAACAGAATGCCATTTCAAAAATAGATTTCAAAAACAGATACAATGTAGTGTCCCAGAAAAGAACTAGGAACAGTCCTGGGAATGAACCCTGTGGAACTAACATGATTAAGATAAAGCAAGGACAGCAAAAGTACAGAGGACAGAGGACGTAGGCAATAGATGTACTTCATGTGGGGTGTGTACCGACTAGCAGTGCAGTATAAGAGCAGAGCCAATGAAAAATCAGTTAGTGTAATACAAGCTTGTCATACGAGTGCGGCAGAATTCAGTTATTTCTCCCTGAGGACTGCAAGATCTGCCAAGAGTAATAAAGGATCCCAACATCGAAACCCAATGTCACACTTCCAAAGTCACAAACTTGTAGAGGATATGTTAAAGCTGGGCCACAGAGTCACAGCACATACAGCGTGTTTCTCTAATACCCGTCGACCACAGGATAAGATTTCAAAACACGACTATGTGACACATCCAAGTGCCTGCCGTTGCTAATGCTTCTGATTCTAATGTAAACATGTAACGGCAAAGACAGCAGTTGCACAAAGACGAGGCTTGTAGGCACAGAGCACACTACATATGACTAACTGTGTTGGTTGACAATTATGAAACCTTTTCAAACTGCATCTAGGGCAGCAGCAGCATACTGATTTCACCATAGAAAATGCTACTGCAATAGCAACCAAAATGCAAGCCCATAAATAGAGCAAATTGTGATAAAAGGGAAAAACTAGGGTACATTGGTTGCAAATAAATGGTAGGTGCAGCTGTGTTGCCAAACCTTCACTGAGAAACACAATCTTTTCCAGCTCTAAAATGTGGCTATATCTCATCCCACAAAGGTCAATCAAACGAATCACATTTTACACCTCACCTGTTGGGTTAGATTTTCCTTTTTATTTGCTTAGTGAGAAATAAGGTACTTTTACAAAAAGCCCCAGAGAATTGGTAGAAAGTCGAGTGAATTAGAATGAAGTGGACACCGGAGAGATTGAAACACTGACCCATCTAAAGTGTAAGAACGGGGATAGGATGAAGAGGTGGCCTGAACACACAAGGAAATAATCCAGAGCGGTCTCAGCGGACTTTCCAGCCCAGATGGACATTAACTCTGTGGGAAGGTCAGAGGGAGCCGCGGCGAGATGAGAGAGAGATAGTAAAGCAGATTGGATGAGAGCGGGGAGTGCTATAAAAAGATGTGTGAGAGAAACAGAAAAATAAAGTGTTGGATAAAGAGGTTGGTGAAGTGAGGGAGAATGAAAAGAATGATGCATGCAATCTGTGTGTTTATGAGACAAATCAGGGGAGGGATCCACTCAAGAGGCTGCTGCTGAGCTGGTGAGTCCTGCCTGTCCACTGCCACCATCTGTCTCATGGCTATGACAACTCTCCACACCATGTGACCACACCATGTGACCACTGCACCATGTGACCAGACCATGTGACCACAGGCTCGTAGATTCATGGCCCAGGACCAGTTGGACCCAGAACAGTCAGGTTTGAAAATGTTAAGGGGGAAACAAGGCAACAAGGAAACCCTCCCTGCAGTAGCTTGATGAGGGGATTAACTGAGCAGAATTGTTTGATGTGTGGCTTCATATTCATGATTTGCAAAAAATTATGTTTTATAACTACAACGATTAACATGTACTAGAGCTTTAAAAAGGTGCAAAAATCAGATACTGATCGATACTAAAACTAGTACTGATACAAGATACTCATTTACTAAAAAAGGAACATTCACAGGACAGAAATGAACCTTTCCTGAATAGGTTTATAATGATCTTGAGCTGTATGAGAACAACTGTAAGACCACACAGGTTAGTATACGCCAGTGGACCACTATGGCACCTACCTGGACAACTGAAAGAGTACATATAACACCAGATGGTAATATAAAAGAAAATACTATGATTTAATGTCGAAAATTACATTCTACTGCCTAAATTTATTGTGTTTTATTTATTTATTTATTTTTTATCACTGTGTCACTGTAATCTGTACGAAGTAGTAAATGTAGTACAAGTAAATGTTAGTATTGTGACAACACTAATATGTAGTATATTATACAGTTTGGTAGGTTAATCTTATATTATCCATATATTATCAGCATATTACCTTTGCTAAACTATAGAGCTATGAAGCAAGCTAGTCTCAGTTCTTCTAGTCAAAGCTACAGACAGCTTGCCAAATAGCAGTACAAATGAGTGGCCTAAAATTTGATCATTGTAATTTGTATACTCTCAAGAGGGCTTAGAAACCATACAATACTCACACATTAGTGCAAGTAGGTCACTGTGGGGCGGTAAACAGCCAAGACAAAACGCCTATGAACCAAACAATGTCTCTTAGTCAAACTATCAGTACAAATAAAACAAAGTGCAGCCTATGTGAGTAGAATTTTTAAAAACCGACTAGCAGATATTACAAGAAGTAAAACTATTGCACCAACTGTACAGTGAAGAAATCTGTTTAGTGTTGAAAGTACCTCACCAGCCTGAGCAGTGGGTTGCAATGACTTGTGACACTTAGAAAGCAGAAGGGCACAAAGGACGCAACCACGAAATATTTGATTGGACAGAGACTCTGAGAAAGAGGTAGACTCAAAAACATCAAAAATATAACAACGTTCTCTCAGTCTTTTTTGAGGAAACTGAAATTGTGCGGGGAAAAAAACACTTCCATGATTTTAGATTTAGATTTAGCTTTCCGCATCCTGAATTATGAACAGTAAACCATTAATGCTTCTTAATAGACTTGATACGTACCATTAAGGGACAGAGGATTGTCCCCGCCTGGATGAGGAAACCCCAGACGACCTGCAAAGAAGGCATAAAACTGTTTATTTATTGGGCAAATACATGCAGTAACACAATCTAGTATCACAAATCACAATAGCAGCCAAAGAAGTTAAATAGTAAACAAACTTGCACAGCTCTATAAAATGTATTAACATATTACACAATTGTTTACAGAATACATTATATTTCAGGCACAGGTTGTCCTGATTTAAACTTTATTAATAAAATATTGTCACCCAAACAGCCAATAGAAATACCAGTACTAACACCCTCACATATTGTTAGTGCTTATCTGATCTTAATGTGACCTATTTCACGGTAAACAAAATACAAAACATCCCGCTTGTTGTTTATAGCAACAGCACCTTGGTATATCTTTGCATTGTTGCTCCCGCGTATAGGGATTTACAGGCTATTTTAGAGATTTGTTATAAAAAGGTGTGATAAAATGTGAGCTCCAGTGGCGTTCGACACTATAAAACGACCTGGAGCTAGCTGCATTGCTATCCGGGCTCGATCACACCACATAAATTAAGCAGCTTCCAATTTAGCAAAAAGCCACAAGAAACGAGAGCAGGATAATGTTCTTTAGTTATTGCTTCATGTGCGGAGATTTACTTTGCTGATGGCTGCTATTTCAACAATGGCTCTCACAATGTAGGGCACGTTCAAGACACAAGAAGGCCGGAAAGAAGTTGAAAACTCAGTATAACCAACAGCAAAATACTCTGCAATCTTAAAAAGTCGGCACTATTGTTGTCACAACACTAAAATTTCAAACTTGATTTCAATACTAGATCTACTACTTACCTATTCTGATACAACGATGATAATGAAAAATGCTATTTATTTAGACACGAGAATGTAATTTTCAACAAATAACAGTACTTTCTTTTATATTACCATGTGCTGCAATCCCTCAGTGGTCCAGGTAGGTTCCATAGTGGCCCATGGATGTAAACTAGTCTATGTGCTCTTATACTTGTTCAAATTCAAAAAGCTTGTTGTCAAATTTCCATATGAACATACAGAAAATTTTAATTATGTTCTTACTCTCAATCTTTTAAATTAAATAATAATAATAATAATAATACTAATAATGTTCTGATGCATCTCAAAATCATTCTAAAACTATTAAAGAAAGGTTAATTTCTGTCCTTTGAATGTGACTTTTCTGTATTGATACTTGCTCAAATGAGTATCTAGTCTTGATACTAGTTTTGGTATTGATTAGTATCTTAATTTTCGATACTTTTGACCTTACTACACAGACTGACCTCTATTTCTGCTCAACTCACAGTCTCATATGATACATTTTACACTGTATGACTTGCCTTGGATTGTACACACCACACTAGCTTATGTTGTGATGCCAAACAAGCTTCAAAGTTACGCAAGGCCGGCTAACTCGACGAGCTAATGACAAGAAACGGCCGAAATAGTGCCACTATTGTTTCCAAGGGTAACAACCGCCCTGTGATTGGTGCATTCCTATTCCTCGGTCACATGTAAGTCTTATGGGCCCTCCCCCCACACCAAGTCTGGTTTGGAAATGTGGTGCAGAAAATACAGGATACGTGAGGAAACAGGACAGACCACCCATAGACACAGGAGTGGCGCAAAAACCATACCGTTTCACAGCACATTTGTCATAGACTGGGCATAAGGATAGCTTCTACTAAACCGTGTTAAGCTACAAAAAATTTAGGTTGAAGCATTCACCCGTAAACCAAAAGGTAGGTGGTTCAATCCCAGCTCTGACCAGTGCATGATGTTGGGAATGCTACGAGAACTCTGAAAGGCATTATTGTCATTATATCGCCACGAGAATTATTTGTACTATCCATTGGCAGCATCTCTAAATGTACCTTTACACTTTCTGATGACACAGTTATAGAAATAGATGCGCGGGGAGGCGTGGCGGAGTCCATCTTGGCTTCGGAGACGCACCGTGCCGAGCCTTTAATAGCATATGAAAGCGTGTTTGTGAGCGCCACATCCCTGCGCGTCTGCCGCTAGCATGTGCCCGCTCTGTGAACCTGATTAGCATGCTGGCGGCTGCATACATGTACAGTAGAGCCCACAGAGCAGCAGTGTGTCTCTGGCCCGCAAACAGAGGGCTCCATTCTGCCACCCGGGACAATGCTGGAAGCCATTCAAAGCCACTCCAACAGTAGACAGTTTTTCTCCCCTCTGTGCCCTCACTTTGTTCAACGTGATGTGCTAGAAGAGCAAGAATGGTGTGCGTTTGACATTTTTGTGTGTGTGCGCGCGTGTGTGTGTGTGTAAGAGGGAGAGAGAATGAGACAAGAGAAGTTTGCAGTAATTATGTTTTTACTTGGCTGTGAGGGAAAATGGAGGCAGGATACGAGCATGAAGTGTAATTAGGAAAACAAGGAGTAAACTAGGTTATTTGCGTTGTAGGCCAAAGGCTACTAGGACAGAAATGGAAGGAGAAAGAACACAAAGTTTGGGAGTGACGCAGCAGTTTCAATGCAGAGCTGAATGCACCACAAAACTCATATTGTCTGTCTATGCGATGGTCGTGTTTCAAAATAGGAACACAATCTTCAAAAATGCACTCGCTCTTCACTTCTTCATCTTGCCATTTCAACTATTTCACTTCAAACTTTATAGCTTGAGTAATACTTCTTTATTTAGCTGAATGCAGTAGTTCTGACGCCATAGTGAACTCCTTGAACTACAAAAACTCCTACGTGTTTCACAAGATAGTGGCGGTTAATGTAGTCTATACAATCGTTTAGCGGCGTATTGAATCTTCACAGGTTCATGTTTTGGCCAGGTGCCGGTCCATGATACTGTGTAGGTGCTTCGAGGGTCTGCAGCTGTGTTGTGTAATTGACGCTAAAGTTTAATTGAAGAACAACTCTACCACAGCACCATCAGCAGCCTCTTCATCAGCAGGTACAAGGCTTATGAGGATCCAAACAATGCTTCTATATTCAACAAACTATCCATGGGATTCAGAACGATGAAATTACAAATTTAAAACAGAACATCCTATCTTTTGAATGGTGAAAGGTCCTCAAAATGTTTCCGATTAACAGGAAACCCTACCCTACACTTTAGTGATCTCTTTAATCCCTGACTCACTTCTGCTAACAAATTAAAGCAAAAGTATTAAAAGTCTTTGTAAGTCTCTGTGAAGGCTAAGTATGTATTTTAGGAGTGTCTGAGGCATCCCTTGTCTGTGTGGAATACCAGCCTTGCAATATGGCGGACACAACCCGAAGAGAGTTCTCCTGGGACACCTGGGCTCTTTTTATATGGTAATGTTGTATGTTTTTGTACGTGGTTACTGATTACTGACTATGTCAATAAAAAAAAAGAAAAAAACAAAAACAAAAGGAAAGGAAAAATGCACTTTTGAGTCTATCTGACAGTGGGGGCTGCAGGAATGTTCCATCACTGAAAACTACTTGGTCTGTTTTTTTTTTAAAAACAAGCACAACTACTTGACAAAGATTACACCAAAATTAATCCATGACGATAATCAATCCAAACCAGAAAATGTATTGTACGTATTCAGTGTTCTTTGGTTTACCTTTGCTACACAACCTGTCATTACATCCTATTTTTTAAAAGTCTGGCTGATTTCTTCCCTAATGACGCCCCAAAAGCGTATGGTGTTGAAGGCGCAGATAAACCTGTTATACACTCTCCAGTGCCAGGCTGCTTGAGGGACCAAGCTGCGGCAGTAGCGGAGATGTGTGCCAGCAAGACTAGCGTGCAGATTCAGTCGTGGCTAATGAGCTAGGCCTCCACTCCTCTGCGCTAATACTGAAGAAGAGGTGCAGTGGTTTGACAGCACGACACTGGATCACAGCGGGAGAGAGGTTCAGCGCGGGCTACAGTAAATACGAGCCGATAGTGAGGCGTCTGGAGAGGGTTTTCACCGCATACAGCGGACAGTCTGTATGTTTGTCTACACTACGCCCCAGTGACCTTTGAGTTCAACGCTAGGCTGTGTACACATTCAACATTCATCAACAAAGAATAGGATTTAATATAGTAGCATGAACAAGAGCTAACCTGAAGCTTCTGTAAATGATTAATTACTGTTATTATTTTAATTTTATAGGAATAATAAAAGTAGAGAACTGGAATACGAATATATAAATTTTGATTTTAAATGAAACAGGGGCAAGACGGTTGGTCTAATTACAGATGATAGCTTTAAGACTGGTTCCATCTGCTTTTTGAAATATTTTTTGTTACTATTTTGCTATATATTTAAGTCCCTCGCTCTTGTTACACCCATTTCATGACTTACTGTTCCGTTTACGTTTAAGACTGTGGGCCAAATGAATAAATTAAAGCAGAAAACATTTAGAACTGTCAGAAATACATCATCCAAAAACTCAACTCTTTGATTTTAACAATGAACCATTGTGTTCATGGGCTCCCATTGCCGCTGGTAATCCATAAGTACTGAAAAATGTCTATAATCATAGCGTATGATATTTTAGGGATGTGCTCTACCCTGTACAGTAATAAGGAGGGTAACAGTCAACATTGCTAGTAAAGCTCAACTAAAATACATCACAAATCAAATGTATTTAGTGAAATTATCCTCTGCCAGCCACTCCCATTCACAGCACAAAGGTTCTTTCAAGTTCACGGATGGAGCAGGTGTTGTATGTTTGTTTGTTAGGAAAATGTCAGAATGAGCTCCATTTTGTTCAACACCAAATTGTACACATTGTGCTTTTAGCTTATCACCCGCCCTGACCCATTTTCACTGTGTTTGTTTAAATAATAATAATAATAAAAAAAACTGAATGTTCCTGCAGGGCTACTGTACATGTTTGGAGGCTGAGTAGTAATAAAAGGTGTTATTTGTAATATGCCATTATGCTGCCTGAAATCCAGTTTAAAAAAACAACACAAAACACACAATTGCATTATATGGTAGTTTCAGCCTGAACCAAATATTGTACTTATGGGGTACTTATTCTAATTGTGTAATCATGAGGAGCTTTATAAAGGCTCCCCGCTGAGATGAACCAAGCCCCCCTTTAATCAATAACCAAAGCTCAGCCTTCATTTTAATTGTTCTCACCGAGAAGACGCAAGAAGTGCTTTTCACCCCTCACATATCACTTTCAAGCGCATGTCATGATCAGACTACAAAGACGAAGAAACAAAAGGCAAATCTGGCCTATGCATCACTGCTACTGCAATATCTGGTGGAATACTCCCAATCTTTCAAGCCAGTGAGAACAACTCTATCTGATCTCAAATGCCAGACTTTGTCATAAAAATCTGATGATCAAGGGGGAAGAGTGAAAACAGAAATGTAAAAGGCGTGCAGACTGGGAGACGGTTTGGAGTCGGAATGAGCCCAGAATGAGTCTTTCAATCTCACTCCTAAATCCCCTCTTAAATACAAAGCCTAAGCCCCAGCAGTGTATTCTCTATGCGGCTCCTTCTTCTAAAAATGTATCGGGAAAAGAGGTCAGATTCAATAGAATACGTTTGCGACACTACAGAGAGCTTGAATTGTTAAAATATTTGAGGAGTGAGGAGGAACAGAAAGCCAAAATGACCTCTCTACTGACCTTGCAGCTGTATGCGACTGCATATAGTTGTTCCTACTTTGAGCGTTCAGTGTTGACAACAAGCACGGTAAAACGCTTGGGAGGTATATGACTCATGAATGGTCAAACTCAGTGACAACCATAGACTGTATAAAGAAATGGACCGAGGGAGTGTGACGTCACCCACAAAGCTGACCAAGGCTGGCAGTTATGGGGTAAATTTGGAGATGAGTTCCATATTAAACAATAGTATCATGTAGAACGGTTTAAGACAAACATTTTCAAACCAACATGAGGAGCCTGACAGCAGCAGTGACAGAAAGAGGGGCAGGAGTCGAGAGTAGGTTAGCTATGTCCGTTTATATAGAGTATGGTGACAACATACTAGGGCCCAACTGATATATCAGTTGGCCGATATCATCAGCAGATATGGGCACTTGGAGACATATCGGCTAGTGGCCAAATTTTTGCCGATATGGGCCGATAGTCCACGAGGGCATATTATACCTCTTTATAAAGCTTAGACTCTTTTTATTATGTCCATTGAATCCATTTTACTGACAGGCAAATGTCCTAATATGTGGTGCTGCATCAGTATTTATCTGTGGAGTAATTTGTTTGTGACAACGTACTGCCCTGAATGCACCCCCAGAGTCAAGTCACAAACTCAAGTGCTCTTGTTTACACCAGCATCGCTCTGAGACACCACTGAGGCGCTGGCTTTAACTGCTCTTGTGCCTGATCTAAGATATTAACTATAAATAAAAGTGAACTTCAGCGGAGTTTAGGCCAACAACAAAACTACTGCATGTTTTTATTAAAGTGCAAGTGCAGAGAAGAAAGGACTGTCCCACAGACAGAGGACACACACAGCTGCTGTCAACATGCAGGATTATGTTATTTTTACGGATGATTGTTTTGAGTCAGGATTAAAAGGACACTTATTAATGAAAACTTGTGATCCAAGAGGAGCCTGTATGACCGGGGAGTGTTGCAAATGTGTCAGTTTGGAAGCTACTTTTCATTGTTTCTCATTGGATAGCGATTAGATACTGTAGACTGCCACACATGAAAAGCCTGCTTTCTCTACTACTGCCTACTGTAAAGTGACTATAGTGACTGTACACATGTTACCTGACCTGAATTGATACGTAAATGAGCTGTGAATAGAGGTGTGAATGGTCTGCATTTACGCATACACAGCACACACGCATTTACCGCTAAAGGCTTATAGTGGTAGTTTACTGTTTACAGACTAGAATGTCATGCAAAAATGCCATTAGGCCTGCCTACTGTGTATAGGCCATAAAGAGGCAGAATAACAATACAGGTAGTCTAAATAAACACATTTTAAAATCCGACAGAGCCAAACCTAAGTTTTATAATCAGCTGAAGATTTCCACAAAATTTTTACACCACTAAATATATCAGCTGTTATATTGGCTATTGGTACCTCCAAGGCCTGTTTTATCAGTATCATATCAGATTAAAACAAAAACAAAAACATATCAGTCAAGCCCTACAGCATACACAACAAGTCTGTTACTTACATTGAATTTAAATATAAAGTGAGACTTTGTGACATTTTCAATGTGCAAAGATCAGTAGACAAGGCAATTCTATGCTATATAATACATAAGCCTCATATCGAATTCAATTATGAGATAAAGGTTAGGTAACAGCACGGTCCATTTATGGCTATGGCAGTTTGCTGAATGTCTCTCTTCTCCTCGCTCCTATTTTGAGCTTGACTATTTTGTATGGTAAAGCATATGTGATCCGAAAACAATGTCACTTAGTTCTCAGTGTATGCCGACACAATTAGAATGACCTTTTGACCAACCTCCCAATTGTTGGTCACTTTGACACTAACAATGTGCAAACCTATGTACTTCCAACATTCAAGTGCGCAAGCAAGTTACATATAAGCAGAACAAAGGTTGTGGTAAATATACAAATAAATGAATCCTTAAATCTTAGTGACAAAAATATGTATCTTGCTATTTTTGCTCTTACCATTTATACTTTTGCTCTTTTTTATTATATTTATTGTGAAGTGTGAGCTACTGTGACCACATAATTTCCCTTGTGGATCAATAAACTTTGTCTAAGTCTAAATGTTATGCTTTGATTATAAGGTTGCTACTTCAGAAAAGGAGGAAATTCTGTATAGCGGCTGAAAAGAGTAGTAGTAGTTAGTATTAGCAGTGAATATCCTTTTGAGACCAGAGGGTAAGGTGAACAAGCATGGAGCTATATAATTATGTGGAAATGCTCCTGCTCGGTGTGTGTGTATATGCAGTGTTGATGTACAATGTTACGAAGTGCACTCTGGGAAGTGTCTGTTCTGTGTCTCATTTGCAGCAGCTTGAGAAAGACTGAGACTTCTAACCTGTGGAGGAAGTGACACTAAGGATTCAGGAGGTGTCGATGCAGATTTATTCTCAGTTTAGCACGTCTAATGGAGTGGCATACAAAAAGTTATCAAGTCATGGCTAATGTGAAGCCTCAATTAATTCACAGGCTATCCATTTTTTAAATAAATTACTAACTAAATTGCAGTGAGAAGACTTTTAGATAGAGGCATGTCCAAACTATTGCAACTATGAAGGCTGTTTAGAATATTTCAACATAAAAAATATCACAGCCAAAGAGGACTGGGCTGAAGCATCTTGTATATTTTAGTTAATCCCTGAAATAGTCACAATTGAAAAATAACTGGTTCAGGTCTGACTACTATACGTGTTGATGTAGATCCTACTCTTTTCTTTACAACTTTGGCTCTGGCATTTGTTGTAGTTAGATCCAGGTTGAGGATATGCTGCTATTAGATGGATATTAATTTGCTCATAGTTGCAATGTTGTTTTTGAGAAACCTGATTATTGCTCTAGTCAAGGATGTGGAAAGTGATTAGAACAAGCCATACATTTATAATCAAAGGAATCACTGTGTACAGTCATATTTGTATTGTCAGTGCTCAGAGAATATTGGGATTGTGGTTTAAAACGAGCTTTACAATTACTAATCAAATTTTGGATAAAAGACTGATCTAAAGTGGTACTTAAAAAGCGTAAAAGGTAACTAGTTACTGGTATGTGAGACAAAATGAGTGACAAATTTGACAGCAGTACTTGGAATTGAGTAAATTTTGACAAAAAGACTGAAATATTAACTTAAAAATTAAATTAAAAAGTGTCATATTTTAGAAAATGTTTGTAGAGGTCTAGCGTACATGTTCTTATGCAGATTATGACAGGATTTTGTTTTTGGTTTTTTGCAGCCTTTGCGATTTGCATTCATTCAAGCCGCGATTTCAGTTTTTCATTCTTTCACACTTAAATTGTAATTTTCTTTCTCTGACCACAGGCTAATTCACCTTATTCTGCCCCACCCACTTTTCTCTCTAAATTCTCCTGAACCTTCCGGTTAAACGGGAATCCTATTCATGTCAATGGCGAATTTAAGAAAAGTTTTGCAGAATAAATATCACATAAAGTAGGTTCATTTGTGTAAAAGTCAGCACTGCATTGATTATCTGTCGTCCATACTGAACTTATTTACTGTTGGGATCAGGAGCCCCATGCAAAATAATACAACCCGAATGATGATGACGACGTCCACGGCTACTTCCAGAATAAGGTAAGCAGTGTATTGGTGGCTTCCAGATTACGCAATGCGATGATGTCATACTCCCCGATGGGGGGCAATCACCAGATTTCACTGTTGATTACATTGTACTTTGACATGAAATATTTAAACACTAAAGTCACAAATGATGAACCTGGTATTTTCAATTATTAACTACACCAAGAACTCACTGTATTACAACATAATTTTGCATTTTAACAATGTTCATTCTAGCTGTCCCCTATCTGTATGAATTAATGTTGTCCTACAGAATGCTGTGATGTCACCTGAAACAATAGCGATAGAGTTGGTGTGATTGACAGTGCAGCCGGCTCACCTTTGAGGGAGTCCTGCTCGGCCCTCATGATGTCGATGAGGGAGCTCTCCAGGGGGTTCATGTTGAAGCTGTCGAACGATCGGGTCCGCTCCTGCACAGACACAGACACCACAAACTCTTTATCTCCAGACACACCAGATTAAAAGTAAACAAAAACGTAACTACCAACTGCCTCCCTGTCTGGACGCACCGCAGAAATTACACTTATTACACGTTACTTTGATTGAATTAACTTTAGCTTATACACCTACACCAGAGACAGAGGGCTTTTGGAGCTGTGTACACAAGCAAATGGGCTGTTTTGCAATTCGGATTACCACCGAGCCTGGGCTAAACGATGACATGGAAAAGTTGAACGTATCATTACATCCAGATGAAAGAAGCAGGATAATCTATATTTGAAGGAATCAAAATGAGGGAAACGAAAGAGTTACGGCCTAAAATGCAGGGGCGTGGTGAAGGTGGTTTAAATTATAGAGAGACAGTCGGTTTCACATAAATCTTCTGAAAACGCTTTTTGGTCCTTTTATATATACTACGTCTTTATAATATTATAACTCTAGCTTGGGGTCAAGAGAGCATAAGGTGAGACAGTGCACACCAGAAAGCCTGAAAATGGATGACAATAGTGAAAAGATATGAAACTGCATGCATTCTCATATATTATTTTTGTTACTTTGTTAGTATAGTATATTTTTTGAAACATTTTCTACATTTTACTAACTCAGACACGTTAATTACAGTATCGATTTATCGTTCCATATATGAAAGCTGCAACCAACATTTGTGGGGCTCAGTATTTATCATGTGTACAACTTTTTTGCAATAGTGGGGAGATTTTTTTGTACTATAAGATTTGAGCTGTAGAGGGAAGAATAAATAATTGTTATGCCTAATTACTGGTTTATTCTGCTACTTATTTCTTGCAGCTCTTACTTTAAAAAAAAAAGAAAGTTTACTGGGGTTGTCCTGCTTTGTGTCAATGGCATAAAGCTGTTTTATTCTTTACTGCTATATTTCTATGAAGCAATGTATTATGCTTCAATTTATTTTTATTGTGACAGGCCTATAACTAACAAGTACCAACAATATCTACTATTTCACTCAAACTAAGTCTTGATAGCCCAATCTCCGAGTTCTAGTTTTGACTACAAAACAAAAACATTATCACTACCACCAAACCCGGCATTACATTTTTAACTAATAACCATTGTTCATTCAGTCATTGTTTCATAACTGTACCTTTCAAGGATAAAAACTCCACATCAGCCACGCACATTTCATTTCATTTATTTACATGCAGTTCAACCCAGGAGTTAAACTAAACACAGCAGGCCTTGAATGAAAGTCTTTGTTGCCCGGGGCGAGGGCATCCTTGGCATCCCGACCGAACTGGAAATGCAGTATGCTGGTGAGGCATGTAAACATACTTCTACACTACGCACTCAAACATGTGTCCACCCAGCCAGTGCCCGGCAGATAAGACTGTGTTATGTCTCCGCCTCGCTTCGGTAAAGTATGCAGCTCCAAAAAAACAACTTCTGTGGCCCACATGAGTACACCGAGAACAGACAGTCGCCACTAAATATCACATGAGTGTCATACTGCTGCCTTATCGTCTGCTTCTTCTTTTATTCTCAGCGTGCCATCCTAAAATCAGAAGACGGAGTGTCCAGCAACAAAGATCACGTGTAAGCAGTGACTAAGGAGTTACTCATTACTCTGTCT